CCTCAGTCTGTTTCAACTTTACTCGCTCAAAATTTGTTCAGTTCACGTAGGATCTTGCCGTAATTACAGCACTAACTCATTAGCGTTCTTTTGGAAAACATTTCGTTGAGTGTACGGAAAAACTGTTGGTCATCAGCCTAGGTCGGTCTGTATTGGGAAAAACTGTACACTCTGTTTAAAATACCGGTGCTCAGGACCTTGGGCACAATCTTACCCAATTCGGACTTCCCGGCCAGTAAATAGCATATTTATCACCGACTCGTACAAGAAACACACACGCACACCCACACACTCATTGGCTGCTATTGGCAGTCAATTTTCTACAGTTCCTTGTCTATACTCTATGCAAACCCACCCCCCACCCCCCCTTTATACTCTTAAAGAAATACTACTTGCCTTGAAACCACTTGACTGCCCCTTGTGGATTCACTTTAGTTTTGAACATTGCTGGCATCATTTCTATAATCAAGAAGGCTGCAGACCAAGGAGAATTGTGTTTGATTTGTTAAATATCGCCTTGAGAAATATCAAAACAAAAACAAAAAAGCTGAGTAATAAAAACGTACAATTTAACTTGATTCCTTCATATCCTTACCTTCAAGTACTTCATACACTGAAACTCTATTCCCAGTTTGAAAAAGAATCTAAGAAATTAATTATGCTGGTTTGCTTTCCTGGTCAATTAGTTTTCATCTATCACTTTGATAAAGTACTTTTACTGTAGTACAACACCTCAACCCTTTAACTCCTAAGATCTCATTAGCAATTCTTGTTACTGTCTGCCATACAACTCTTGTGATGTTAGTTTGGAGAATTTGGTATTGGATCAACTTATAATCATGATCCCCTAATTGATATTTTACTTTATTCTCATCTGACTTGTCTGCTTGATATTGTATTGATATTGTAAGGAGAAATTATGTACAGTAAATGGTTTGAACCCGAGGGTAACATGTAATAGCGTAGTTTGATCGTTCGGGTGAGTGTAGTCCTAAGAAGGACTGTTGTCGGTAGTGGAGACGGAGAGCAGTTTACAGGAAACCGACACATACCTACAGATTACTGGACGAGTCATTCTACAACCCGACATCACACAAAGCCACAACTATCAGGACTCTCACGCGACGAGCGCAACTAGTATGCAACACGACAGACAGCTTCTGCACTAACCTGGTCTATAGAACGACATACAGCAAAACAGAAATTCATGGAGAATATTGGATTATGGCCTGAGTGTAACGCCATAAGGCCACTTTATTAAAGCAGATAATAATAACGTCTACAAAAAGAGAGACTGAATATGTAAACTAGAGAAAACCGTGCCAGGGGGAAGACCCTCTGGGAAAAACGGATAGGAAATCTGGGGAGGGCCAGGCACGACTTAGTCCCCCGCCGAGACTACTAATGAAATAATTTATCGTAAGCAAACGAAATCCGAAACTAAAGAGCAGTAGATCGAGCAACTTTTAAGCGATCATTAACAGTGTGCTTAATGTATCTGTTCTTTGAAATGGCACATTTCCAGCCGGCGTGCGTGTCCAGCAGATCAGCAGAAATACTCCTACACGCAGAATTTGAAGCGGCGCCAGACTTGATACTATGCGTGCCATAACTAGCGATGTCATCTACAAATGGCTTAACGTATTTCCTAAATTCCTCTCTAAGCGTCGTGTACGAAACGCCTTTAGTAGCATGAAAATACTCCTTAGACTTAGATTAAACAATTCGTCTAACGAGGGGGGAGGATGACTTAGTAAATGAAGGAAGAAGCTTGAGTAACCTCTCGGTAATGCAAACCGGGCAAGTAGCCTTATGAGACCTTGCTAGGAGGGATGTATGCCCCTCCCTATATTGATCATTCTTGCGTTTCAGAATGAAAACTGCCATGTATTCGCTGCGAACAGAGACATCTTAAACAGACAAAGTACGAATTTCGCCCATTCGGTAAAACCTAGCGAAGCCAACCAAGAGGATGAATAACACTGAGAGAACTACTAGAAATATAATGATCAGCGATCCTACAAACTGTGTCGACGGATAAAGGCTCTTTGGGCTGAACGGGACGTGCAAGTTTCCTTCTAGCGCCCTCTAAGGATGACTTAACAAGGGAGTGACTAGTAGGGCATTCTACTATCCCGGCCAGACTATGAGCCTACTTAATGCCGTAAAGAACTGACTCTATAGAAGATATCCCCGTATTATTGCTAACTGAAATTACAGTAAGCTCGCTAATAAAGAGCGCGACATACAGAGGCTTTGCTGGAATAACTTGAATGCCAGTCTTAGGAGCTGCCCATTGACGCCACTTCAGTTTGCCAGATCTGTATTTCTGTACGGTGGAAGGAGCCCTGGACTCCAACTGTAAATGGAGAAGGTTTGGAACAAGCCTACGCAAAGATGGATCGACCAGAGAATTTGCGTCACGCCAAATCCCCGATTGCAGAACGTCTACAAGAAATAAAATAAAACAAAATAAAATAAAAGTAAGCAAAAAACAAAAGGTAGAATAACATAAAAAAGAGATACATAATACAAACAAAAAATGAGATGCCACAAAAACCATCAAAACGGCCCAAGAGATACTGCCAAATCAGGCAAAACACAATAAAATAGCAAACGTGGTGTAAAAACAATTTAGCCCAGAACACGTACGGTCAAAACGACGATGCCAAATCAGGCAAAAGGTGCAAAACAAACGGAGGTCAAACTACTGACCAAAATGACAATACCAAATCAGACAAAACACAACGAGGTTAGACTAAAAGATCAGCAATGACAAGGTGAGGAGCAGAGCTGAAAGAAAAGAGACATGCATGGTAAACAAGGATGACAAAAGCTCACCTAAAATCTACCCGTAAGGCTAACATTCTGAATCTTGGGCAACCACTGAAAACCGAGGGGCGCGCCTCGTAAATTTACCTCTGACCGGGACCTTCCTACAAGAGGTCTTCTATACAAGGAAGCTAAAACACTCCCTAAACAAAAGACTTGAACTGAGAAGAGCTGTCATGCAAAAAGGGCCAAAAAATAGGCCGAAGGCCACTGTGGGACGATCAAAGTGCCGTAACCGGAGCACAACGAGAGAGCTCTGACAGAAGGGACGATGGCACTCAAAGGAGGGCAGACCCAATTGTTCTCGTCTAGCCAATCCTGGGCCAAGTCGTCAACGCCGCTGCAGCTGGGGGAGGCAAATTTAGAAATGGACCTAGGAACCTGGGCGTTGTAATGCGGCGCAAACCGATCGATTGTGCGAGGGCCTCATTTGGCGTCAATCACTCGAAATACAGAAAGGTTGACGGACCATCTTTGTCAACAAATCTGCTGAGAAGATTTGCCTTTTCATTAGGCGACCTTGGGATCCATTGTGCTTCCAGAATGATGCTGTTAACAAGACATATATTAAAAGTGTCTATAGCCAGAGCCTGGAGATTAATTTTGAAGTTTCCGATAGCAACAATTCTGGCGGCGCCCTGATTATCAGTAAAGATTTTAACTCTCTTGTGTTTAAATTGAGCAACGTAGGAAAGCAACAAGAAATAAGTAGCTTTCAGTACGCAGAACGTAGAACTTTGGCCGATATCCTCGGGTTCCCACATGCCACGGTGCCATCCAGAGAAGCTGAAAAACCTCCGAAAGCTACATCGCCTGCTTTGGTTTGTTTGGAGGCTTTCTTCTCTGGAATTCGGAATGACAATGAAATAGAATCGATCGCGAAATCCAGCCACTCGCCAGTTTGTATTAGGGTCCAGTGCGACTTCTCATCGTTACAAAGAAGACCAGATGAAGAAAGCTCTTTGCGTTGAATTTAGCTTGCTGCCGTGGCGGAACACTTATCAGGTTGACTACCGAAACCGTCGTCCAGATAAATGAAACTGGTGTGCCCTATAGAACGCCAGTGTCTAACTAACGGGCGCATCAACTTAGTGAAACAAAAGCAGGAACAACTAAGGCCGAAAGGAAGAACTGCAAAGGTAAAATATCTAACAACACCGGAAAAAGGCCAAGCAAAATCGAGATACTTTTGGTGATCAAGAAAAATATCAACATGATGGTAGCCGGACTTAAGGTCCCAAGTGGAAAACCAGTGTCCTTCATCCAGAACTTGGGATAGCGGGCGCAAGTCTTCATATTTGAATCTGGGTTTAACTAAACAATTGTTGACGCGCCTAAGATCAATAACGAGACGCAACTTCTTTCCTTCCGCGACTGTTAAAGGATTCATGTAGAACGGAGGAACGACATGTTTAACAATACAACCATTGCTAAGTAGCTCGGTAATTGCTTCGGCCGCAAATTCTGGATGCTGAAGCGCAGATCTGTTGTTCTTTAGAAAGCACTGTGAGGGATACTAGGCAAAAGGTAACCTGTAACCACGCCTAATCATGTCAAGTACAAAATCTGAAGCATCTAATGCTTCAACCCAGAAGTTAAGCAAGGACTTCAAGCGACCTTTGACGCCATTGCTACCGCCTTTACCACTAAATTCGTCGCTACAGGAAGACAATAAATCTAAAAAATTACACTCAACTTGCTGGGCATCGGCATTATCATTGATCAACAAACCGCCCTCTAGTCAATCACGGCGAGCGCTACTCTTTGAAGTGTCCGCAAGTTTCGTGCGTGTCAAGCTCAAATGACCAAAACCTCCACACTGAAAAAGGGGAACTCACAATTGCATGAAAATAAAATCCACAGCATAAAAATAAAAGAAGTAGCGTGGAGTAGCGTGTGGCGTTAGCAGACCCGAAGGAAGATCACTAACTGACAACAGCTCTATATACGACACGCAAATAACGCGTATTGCGTAACTGAAACACCTAGTTGTCTAATTGCCAATAGACTGCCAAATACAGAACGTGCAGAAAACAAATATCTGCTAAACGTACCGCACATATTTTGATATTCGGCACTAACTTAGTCTATAAAACAACATACAGCAAAACAGCAATTCATGGAGAATATTGGATTATGGCCTGAGTGTAACGCCATAATCGACGAGGTAAAAACAAAGCCGGTATAACAAGAAAGAATGGGCTACTTATCTTAAAACAAGGCCCCAAACGACGAGCTGGTCTAGCATCCGAACGAGAAGCCAAATCCTTAGACGAGAATCTCGACGAAGAAGCCGCGCGAAATACAGAGAAGGAACCACTTCCTTTCTCGTCAGAACGGACACGACGACGCTTCTCTTTATTATGGGCGCCGTCACCACCAAAAATACAAGGATGTCAAATAAATCAGCAAATACAAAGCTGGTCTAAGGATAGGCTGCAGGATAGCACAGCGAATATACCGTTTTTGTGTACGCTGTACCACTCGACATTACGCTGAGCCATTTCACGCAACGCTACACTGTTTGTATGTACGCTGTACCATTCGACATTACGCTGAGCCATTTCACGCAACGCTACACCGTTTGTGCGTACGCTGTGCTATTCGACATTACCCTGAGCTATTTCAAGCAACGCCACACCGTTTGGTATGTGCACTGTACTATTCGACATTGCGCTGAGCCATTTCACGCAACGCTACACCGTATGTGTGCACACTGAACAATTCGACATTACGCTGAGCCATTTGACTCAACGCTACACCGTTTGTGTACTGTATTGCAAAAGAGTGCTAAGCTATTCGCAATTGAGCTAGTCCATTTCATAATTTCATGTTCCAACTCGACATAGGCAACTAGACCGTTTATCAATTGGCTAAACTATCCATGTTTAGGGTGTTCTGTTTCATGAAGGAAAACTAAACCGTCTATAATTTGGCCACGCCATTCCTTTATTAGCTATGCTATCCTGCAGCCGATCCTTAGACCAGCTTTGTATTTGCTGATCTATTTGACATCCTTGTATTTTTTGGTGGTGACGGCCGCCCATACACTTTATTGGTTTTTCTCCCGGCTCTCCTCTCGGCCCGGTAAATTCTCTTCTCGTCGTCGGAGTCAGACGCGAGTTCGTCAGACAAATATTCGTTAACAGTCGCCCATCCACATCCGCTCTCGTCAGCTGGCTTAATGCCTTTAACACGCTTGGAAACTAATTCAGTACCTGACTCCAGGGCAAATTTAACTTTCTCGTACAATTTCTGCTTGAGAGCGTCGGATGCTTCGTCTAGTTTATCCATCACCTGGAGGGAATGATCCAACTGCTGCTGGTTTCCTTTCCTTTTGCAGGTATATTGTTCGCGCCGAGCTCTCTTGACTGCTTGATCAACGGACGAGCTGTTCTCCTCGGAAAATCGCTTCGCGAAATCGCTAAGCTTAGATTCAATAACCTTAGTGAGGTTATCGGCTAAAGAACCCATCGATTCAGAAACGGCAGACTGTATAGCAGCAGCGACAGAAGGATCTAAAACTCCATCGCTCCGACTAGAACGTGCCCTAGCTTCCTCAGAGTCGCTCATGCTAAAGAACAGTGGAGTAGCGTGTGGCGTTAGCAGACCCGAAGGAAGATCACTAACGACACGCAATTGACGCGTACTGCGCAACTAAAACACCTAATTGTATAACACAATAAGAATACCAAATACAGAACGTGCAGAAAACAAATATCTTCTAAACTACGTACCGCAGATATTTTGGTGTTATCTGACGAGAACAAGTACCTTGACCGTGTTTTTTCCAAGAACAACTATAACGAGGACTTCATCCGACGATACACTCACCGACCTTAACTACTACTACCGAAGCTAACGACAACGCAACTCCTACGACCACAGCAACTATACCGCACATAAAGGGCATATCTGAAAACATCTCGCGCATCCTACAACCATTCAATATCCGCGTCGCTCACAAACCCATTTCCACGCTACGCCAGTTACTGACTAACGTCAAAGACCAAGACGAACCGAGGAACAGACAGGGACTGGTTTATAAGATCAACTGCTCCGACTGGCACGCCTCCTAAATCGATGAGACCGGCAGAAACCTCAAAGCCAGACTGACTGAACACAAACGAGCGACGAAGAAAGGCGATGTCTACAATCACATTGCTGAACAACACCGACTTACGAACCACACTATTGACTGGGACTCTGCGCAATGCCTAACCCACAACACCAACTACTTTCAACGACTGACTCTGGAAAGCTAGTTTACTAACTTGGAACAGACTCCTCTCAACAGGTGTCAACCACTATCGGCACCGTACAAACGACTCATCCATTACATTAACATTACAAACGAACCGAACAGAACGACCTAACTTTACTAACAGATCGAGACTGACCAATCACGACCGACCTAAGCCACTTGAGTCTTACAGCCAATAACATCGCGGCAAAACTGATCAATCAGTTTATACAAACCGGACTAAGAACGTTCGACTGACAACAACTATTCACTTGACTCTGAAGATGACTTCTGCTCAGGTTGTCGAAACGTCAGTCACTACTACCGACAACAGTCCTTCTCAGGACTACACTCACCTGGACGATCAAACTACACTATTACGAGAAATTCTCCCTTGGTCACTCATGGGAGTTAAAGGGTTAAGATCAATATCCATATTCTCAAGACTCTAAACTATAAATTTTCATTGGTACTGATGAGAAGAATTCATATTGTAATCAGAGCGTCTTGAGTTGGCAATCTTTTTGTTATTCTCATGTTCTCAATGAATGATTCAGCAATATTACTGGAGGGAGAACTTACATGCCGACTACCCTTTGGGCTGATAGGGTTAATTAAGCAGAGAGAACCAAATTAGTCTATTGTATCACATGTAAGCCATGCTATACTGTGTTCCCTATTTACCAGGACATGTGTACAAAACATGATCCAAAATTAACACAAACATCACTTATTTCAAAGCCAAGAGAAGTATTCCACATTAGAGTAATATTTGAATTAAGTATTGGCAATTGTAGAGTTCTGAGAACTGTATTTGATAATTAAAAAACAAACTCACAGTCTGATTAAATTGGTATTCATAAACAAAGTAATAGCTAGCTCACCTGATCGTAACATAAAGAAAACCCAGCAAGGACCCAAACAGTCTGTTGTCAGTTGTCAAACAGGCAAAAAATGGGTAGAACAGGATCCTGTATACAAGAACAGCGACAATATTCTGAAAAACTAATTAAAACAGAGGAATTAATTTTTTTTTTTGCTAGCTCATGTTGAGTGTTGGACTGCTGTGCAGGTAAAGGGGGTAAGTTTGTATAGAAACTGTGGTGCTGCATCAGTGGAAGAGTATAACAGGGTAATTTAGTATTATTGACTGAGTTGATAATGGAAATTGGCCACTTTATAGAGTTTAAAAGCTGACATTTCACATGCAATAGCCCTTCATCAGAGCAGTTGGAGGAACTGTAGGTTGTCTGTGTGTTTATAGGCAGAAAATGGAGCTATGCTATTGGTGGGAATATGGTGACGAGAAAACAAGAATAAATTAGTTGTTGATACCGTGGGGTTTAAGATTGCCTATTTGAGAGATAACTTTTGTTCTGAAATTTTTTGCGACCCTTCAAACTACCTAGATGTAGGGAAAGGCCACAAAGTGCCATATGCCACCCAGAATGATTAGGGAGATTAAAATATCTAGCGATCAGTTTGGATGTGTCCTTGTCATTTCTTTTTATATAGTGAAGGTGTCATGGCTGTGTTGGTAGTTGAGGGTTCAAGCCCCAGACCACAAGAACACTCAGGGTCTTAAAATAACTGAGGGGAATGTACTGCCTTTGATACAACATCTGCAAATGGTTAGACATTCTGGTCTTCTCAGCAAAGGATGATAAACCACAGGCCCCATACTCTCCTACATCTTCTCTGTACTGGTTATAA